GAAAAAGAAAGAAGAAAGAAAGAAGAAAGAAAGAAAGAAAGAAAGAAAGAAAGAAAGAAAGAAAGAAAGAAAGAAAGAAAGAAAAAGAAAAAGAAAGAAAGAAAGAAAGAAAGAGAGAGAAAGAAAGAAAATGTATTTTTAATCTAAGGATCAGTACTACACAAATCAAATCATGCAGCCCCGTTTACCAGGTAACCTGGGATTGCAATTCAGAAAATCCTTAGGGACAGAATTTGTTCATAAACAAGGCTAATTTCAGCAACAGAATTATACTTTCTAAAGCAATTCTTTTCTTACAATTCTCAGGGCCAAGAGAAGAAAAAAGAAAAGACGGGGGTGGGGGGGAGGGGAAAGAAAGCCAATAATTCAAAAGCATCCAGAACAGTGTTATGCAGGTGGCGGCAAAGCAAAAACAGTCCAATCAGGAACCACATGCAGCTCAAAGAGCTTCAGTCTGAAGGGGTGCTTGGCTTGAGTCCCACTCCAGGTGCTTCTTGGTTCCAGCTGCTGTGTTTCTGTCCTGGGGACCAGGAACATCTCCCTCACTGTCCTTCAGCAGTTCCCCCAGAGACCTGAGAAGGTGGTCTGTCCTCTGGCCAAAAGTGGAGCCTGTGGAAGGACACATGGGAAACAGCCCATCAGGCCTGGGCCCAACCATCTGCAGCTAAAGGCTGATGGAGTCAAGGGCAGAGGGAAGAGTGATGTTTCCTCACCTCCTCCAGGCTTCCTTCCTGCCGCCTCTCCAGAAGGGTGGCTTTATGCTTGGGAGCAGCCAGTGGCTTGGAATCTTTGAGATCTTGTAGTGAGCTCATTGGGATACCCATCACCTTTCAGTCCATGATATCTCTGTTGACAAGAACATAAAATAAATACCCCTGCATCACTGGTCTATGAATCTTGAGGAGAAGGAGACACAACAGAGTAACACACATGGAAAGAAGAGAAGGGAGGACGAGAGAGAATAAAACTCAGAAAGGATACTCTACCTGCCACCTTTCCCTGGAATTCCCCTAGGTGGTCGCATCCTGGACAGGAGGCTCCAGGTGAAGTCTAAGACCGCCCAGTGGTCTCAAAGGTCTGAAAGGTCAGGAAGCATCATTCCACTGCCACGCGGGCACCTGAACTCAAAACTCAGCTCCTTGAGAACCTCAGCCAGCTTTGCCCCAACTCTCCTGAGTGGATCCTGTCACTGAAATACTACATAACAGAGAGCAAAGTTCAGCTGAAAATTGGCAGGAGGTCCTCCATCTTCCTTTGCCCCAGGGTGGTGGTCAGGGAAAGGGCAGGGCGTTGGGGTAGGAGGGGTATCAACAACCACCTGGGCTTCTCTTTAGTGATTTCAGTCTTCAACTTCAAACTCTCAACTCCCCACCCAGTAATAAATCTCTAAGAAGATTCCTCCAGGACCGTGGTCCATGCCCTTTGGTTCAATCTAGCCTTGCTCATTGACTCTAAGGCATCATCCAGATCCTGAAGAAAGTTTCTATGCCTGGATCAGGAGAACTCCAGACCTGAAGCGTGCCAGACACCTGGTTCCACTTGTGACCCCCCCCCCCCGCTTTCCCAAAACTCATGGGAAGTCCAGGACTACCCCTCCGTCCTTCGTAGAACCTATCTCCCTGGAACATGGGGTAGGCTGTACACCACTGAGGAACACAGGTTGAGAATCATAGGAACTTGCAGTGCTACCACGAAAGTCAGAGAAAGAGGAACTTATCCAAACACACCCAGTTACCAGTGTTATACCGAACGGTAGGGGCCGGTGGGAGTGGTCTGTCCTGGCCACACATTTTATAAAGAGGGCACACTGTCTGTAGGGGATTTAAAATCAATAATAAAATTAAGAGTTACTCTACTTTTTACTACGACCGTGCACTGGTGATTCTAAGAATGTCGGTGACAAAAGAGTCCTTCCCACCCAGGCGGAACCCCATCCTTGGCCCCTTCTGCAAACTATTCATTGTATCCTCACCCTGCCAGAGTCTGTCCTTGTACTCCTCCATCTGCCTGGAATTTTCTGCCCCCGATACCACCTGCCAACATATTACCAACTTTCAAGCTCCATTTCAGATGCTACCTCTTCAAAGAAGACTCATGACTTCTTGACTAGGAGTAATCCCTCCTCCTCTTAATTCCTATAGCAATTTACCTATATTCTTTTATTTCTTCCTTGTATTATACTTGAACATGCAAAAATATTATCTTCCCTATTAATATACATCAAGATGCCATGAAAAATATGTGGGATTTGAAATTAGGCCTATGTTAGATTCCCAATTTTTACCCTGAACTAGCGGTGTGATGCTGGGCTAATTTTAACCACCTCTTTGGCTTATTTCTACATCTATAAAATGAGGAAAATATCAGGGCTGTTGCATTAAATTAGATAAACACACAAAACATCTAGGCTGAGATAATATACCCCTGACAGTTACTGGTTTCTCTACTCTCTTTATAAGGGTAGAATCTTATTCTTTTTTTTTTTTTTTTTAAGATTTTATTTATTTGACAGAGAGACAGCGAGAGAGGGAACACAAGCAGGGGGAGTGGGAGAGGGAGAAGCAGGCTTCCCGCGGAGCAGGGAGCCCGATGTGGGGCTCGATCCCAGGACCCTGGGACCATGACCTGAGCCGAAGGCAGACACTTAATGACTGAGCCACCCAGGCACCCCTGGTAAATCTTATTCTTTCCTCCCCACTCCTGCAGGACTTACCCAGAAAAGTGGTAAAATGTGGAGGGTACTGAAAATGAGGATATGGAAGAAGCAGAACATAAGCCTGTTTGGAGGATTCAGTGAGGGAGTATGTGTTAAGTTCTTAGATCAAAACCTGGTACATGGTAAGAATTAGAGTAATGAATATCACATAGAATAATCTTATGAGTTATTGTAGGATTCCCTGACTCCATGAAGCACTCCAAATATCAATTATCAAGATACTCCTTCCCCTGCTTCAAACTTCTTCCTCTCTTCCTCAAAAAAAAATGTCAGAAGGTAAATAGTGACAGTGGAATTTTTAGAAAATCACATAATGTTAGAGCTAAGAGACCTTTTCCCCCTTTAGGTAACATGTATTGAGAATCCATGATGTGTGAGGTATCATCCTAAGAACTTTACAAATAGTGTCTTATTTAAATCTCATCTGAACCCAGTGAGGAGCTGCCTTGACTATTTCTATTTTACAGATGTGGCAACTGAGGCACAGAGAGGTTAAGGAACCTGCCCATGGATGCACAACCAGTCAGATACAGAGCTGGGTTTGTTAACTAGGTTGAGAATCAAGCTCTCATTCACTGTGAATGTACTCCAGAACTTTCTGTGAGGATGGAAATGTTCTGTGCTAAGATGGTAGTCATTAGCCATAAGTAGCTCCTGAGCTCTTGAAATGGGTCTACTTGAGGAACTGATTCATGTGTCAATGAGGAACTGACGTTTAAATTTTACTTAATTCTACTTAATTTAAATATAAATAGCACACATGTCCAGTGGCTGCCATATTGGACACAGCCGGTCAACTGTTCCTTAAAGACCTTGCAGAGGCCCCTTAGTTTGATGTTAGAGATGACATGATTTGCCCTAGACATAAAGTCAGGGCAGAACCTTCAGAGGGGGGGAGCAGGACTATGCTAATTCTAGAGCATAGGATTGGAGCAAGATACACTGGAGTTGGAAATGCAGGTTCTTTCATTCACTGGCTGTGCCCACAGCACATGAGTCAACCTTCCTGATCTCTTTTTGGTTAAGGAGGCCTAATAATAGCATTTCTACGGTCAATGTGATCATCACATAAAACAGCATATGAGAGAGAGTGCTTAGCACATACCTGGCATAATTTAAGGGGAAGCTGTAGCACACATACTCATAACTTAGAAGAATGCCTCTCTCCATGCTCGGCGAGAGAGCAGAAGAAAGTAATAATATCAGTGGGACAGGGGAGAGGTTTCCCACCCGCATTCCACTCAGGATGCACATGTATGTCACAGACCAAGCACAAGATGAGCAATACAAATGCTTTCTCATTTCAACAGGCTCTCAGAGTCTCAGTGTGTGATTCTAGTGTTTATATGTGATTTTCCCCTAATGCCCTGACTTTAGAACTTACTCACCACCCCACCCCACGCTAAATAAGGGTCCTTAATGTTATTCCTCCCTGCACCAAGTTCTTCTGTGCAGGCTATTATTATGATTATTTCTACAGCCAAGTAGCAACACTCCTTATCCCAGGTTGGCTACATTCTTGTTCTCACTCAGTTCATACTCAAATGTGCATGAACTCTCTCCCTTTCTCTCTTGTTCTTTCTCTTTTGTGTGTATACACACGTTTATGTTCTCTCTTTGTGTTAGTTTTTAACTTAACTGTGTTTCATCTCCAAACCCACCCTGCTTCATAGTGCTGGGGCTGGGATGCTGCAAAGCACATCTCTCCTGGGCCACAGGCTCCCTGCTGGGTCTGCTGGCGGGGGCGGGGGGAGACTGGCTCCTTCCAGGATTCCTATTCTGACACCTGACTCCAGCGAATCACATGACTCCACCCTGGCAACAGCAACTGGTTCCAGTCAGACCACCTGCTTCCACTTTGCTGTTCCTCTGTATTCCCAGCCCAGCTAGCTGTCCAGTGTCCCCTCCTTGGAAGTCTGGGTTCCCCCTCTGCAAGGCCCATCATCCAAGTATTTAAGTTTTCATTATCCTAACTTCTTCCCTTGGTTCCCCCAGCCCTCAAGGTACAGCGGCTTCCTGCAGCGTATGACCTCTGTGAAGCTCAGTGTCCCTTTGCACCTCTTAGATTATCCAACACCTGGTTGACAAGTGATGAGGCTCAAGAAATGCCATCCCAAAAGGTGCCACCTTGGCCTCCTGAATATTTTAAACTGAAGTCTAAGGAAACAGCAGAAGCAGTAAGGTCACCATGTCCTTGGCCCCCTCTCGCCCTTCATCCCTGAAACAGGGCACAAAGCGCTCCTGGGAGAGGTGGCCTCTCAATACCCGGAGGAAAGGAGCGTCCTCATCTCTAAAGACAAAGGGACGCCCAGAGGACTCCTCACCAAGGGCCTTGCTAAGTCCCCACCAGGTTACTACGCTTACCTCCTAGTCCTTGACCTATCCCACTCCCCCACGGAGGCCCGCTCTCCATCCCGCCTCGCTGAGAAACTCGCAGCTCTAACCCGTGCGGCGGGTCTTCATTTCCTCGTGAAGGCTCCATGTCACGTAACGTTTCTACTACATAAATCGATATGCTTTTCTCCTGTTAATCCGTCCTTGTCAGTTTGCTTTTCAGGCAGAAGCAGGGACCCTGAAGGAACTGAGGAAAACTTTTTCCCTCCCATACAAGTCTTCATAGTAATTTCTTCTGTTAAAGTAACTTGTTTAGCTTCTGTCTCCTGACAAGATCCAACCTGATACACTCTTCCTCTCCCTCTTCCATGGACAAGCTATGTTACTGTGTATATAAGAATACATGAACATGTCTTACGGGGGTTTTCCCCCACATAAAAGCTATCAATAAATTATTAATATATCCTGGCATTTCTATTCTAGATCCTCTCTGCCTAGCGTGTCAATACAGGGTAGAAAAAAAAGGAATAGAGCACATCAAATCATATAATTTGATATATCAGAGAGTAATTAACCCCTGAGGCGCAATCTCTGGGAGCTCATTCCTGGGCACATCTGCCAGGGCAGCTAAAAATCAGGTAAAACACATGGACATTTCCATTAACAAACATCAACACATGGGAGTCCTGGCAGGGGCATTTGCTAAAGCCTAGGGTGCAGACCTTCTGTAGCAATACATCAACAACTATGCCAGATGAACCA